ACACACACACACACACACACACACACACACACACACACACACATTTTTTTAAATATTAAAGTAATCTAAGAAGTTATAATTTCATGTATTTAATGTGGTTTAGTTTCAATGAGTTGGAAAATGAGCTAATCAGTTGCTTTAGTGTAAATGTATATAATTAAGTATCTTTTGTTTTATATTTTTTGGGGCCACATATAAATTTCATTATTTATTCATCATGACAGCTGCATGCTAACTTAACATCTAAGGGTGTGATATTATTAATAACTTACCTATCTTTATTCATTATAGCTAAACAACAGAAAAATGTAATTAAAACAGAAAATGTTTTGCAGGAAATTGATTACAGTGTCGATGTGTATGTTACATAAAATGGTTGGGATTATTTGTACAAGACATAATAAGTGAGGATGTGTTGGTAATTTTGAGATTGGGTAAATGTCTTATTTGAGAAAAATTGCTGTTTTATTTGCATATATTATGTATGTTTGAAAAAAGTTAAATTTAGTTCATGTATTTGTGATTAGTCAATTTGATCTATTGGCATTTTAGTTCGTATATATTTAGCTGTCACTGGTACAGCCAGTTTATTGGTACTTGAACTCATTTATATATAGCTATTACTGAAGTAATAGGTCCACTGACACCTAAGTTCATGTATTTATTATTAATTGTGTTGGTTTATTTGCTACCAGTGACTTCCAGATTTATATACATGTATATGCTATTAATTTAGTTACTTTAGGTCTACTGACACCTTGTTTCATGTATCTATAACTGATCCAATTGGTCTACAAGTTTACAAGCTTGTATACTTGTAGCTATTATTGATGTAGTACGTATATGTCAATTTAATTTCTATACGTTTTATTGGACTGCTAGTTACAAAGTTTGTATATGTGTAGCAGTTGTTGTTGACGTATTGGGTACAGGCTTGCTTGACTTTCATTTATGTATACATACATACATGTTGATGTTGTGACAATCTTGTTCTGTAATGTGGCAAGTAGGTGTTTGACAGTACCTTCTACTAGCTTAATAAAGGCACAGCGCAGATTCCTGGGAACCATTCATTAACAAAATTCGTTAACACTAGACAAGTGACAATACACATGTTGAGTAGCAACAAAGACAATCACTATACTAGACACACCATATTTACATACCTTAGCTCAGCATATTTAGGTGTCACGTGTTTACAATAGTTATGATAATCAATCAACAAACACCTTGAACAGTGTACATCATGTGACTGTTGAGTTACATCATGCTCTGTAGCTTTAGCTTAGATAAGATGATTGCACAAAATTCAAGTAGGAAATTTTATAGTCTTATTAACATAAATAATTTCTGTGAATGTAATAAGTGTAATGGTATGATAATTTGTCATGCAATGATAAAATATCTACAGGAGCCTTCATTTGAAGAAAGAAATAATACTGATTCAACTCCTCATGGTGTGATATTGAAGTAATTGGTGTAATTAAATTCCAAGTTTGCATAATTATAGTTGTTGTTGTTCTAGTAGATCTAGGTTTGCTGAACCAGAGTTCCATGTTTTCTGCTGGTCTTGGCAAGTCTTAGCTCTAAGTAACAGGATTATCAGGTAACAGGGTCTAGTAATAGGTTGCATGCTAGAAAGGGATTTAAGTGAGTTTGCCCTCATTAAAGAAACTGATTAAATTTGAGGGGTCATATAAGGTATCCAACTACATGTTATTTTACAAGATTTAAATAACTGTGATAGCAAATAAAAAAAAACAAAAAAAAACCATAATAATAAAAAAACATTTTTTTTATAGTTTTATTGAAATAACACAAGGTCCTAATATAACACTTGTCTTTTTTTATGCTTAAGACCAGCAGTTGATGTAGCTGGTAGAAGTCTAGAAAGTCTACTTCTTTATTTAGAGCTGTTATTGGTTTAGCAACATTTATGGCTCCTGAGTTCATGCAGCTAGCTGTGTTTGGTTCAGTATGTCTACTGATTTGGCAAAAAGTTTACTTGTATCTATAAAGCTATATTTTTAGATGTTAATTGCTTCCCTGGCTGTTTAGGGTTAGTTAGCAAGAATGTCATTTTTTTGTGCAGTACTCTTTCAAAAAATTTAACTTCTGATGTAAAATAATTTTAAAGATTTTTGTAATTTTAAGCATTGTTAATTTTTAATCATTTGTTGAAATAAATTGTAATTTATTCGAAATTATTTTGATGAAGCATCCATCCTGATGTAATTCTTTTTTTATCAATGTATTCCACTTTCAGTATATGATTTATGAATATTTAAAAAACTTTTCAGGGGTGCTTTTTCAATTGTGAGAAGATGTGTTCAGAATATAACTCTATTAGAATTTGCTGCAAAGATTATCAACACAAAGAAATTATCTGCCAGAGGTAAGATGAATATGTGTTATATATAGATTCTTTTATTATTCATTTCCACAATATGTGTACAGTTGGGGAGGGTTTGTTAATTGTTAATGTTTGAGCTTAAATAGTGAGATAGTTAGTTGTTTATCAGTCAGGATTTGACAGCAATATTTGATACAAAAGGTTATATATATATATATCTACTGTCATTAGGTAGCACAAAAGTTTTCATTGTTTTCTTATAGTAGCACTTGTCTGACAAATGTATACTTGTCATATTTATAGTATTTGTAAACTAAAAGAAGCTAACTTATAATAGGTCCAGCAATATATTATACCAGTTAAATTAACTTTTATAGGATTACTAATTTCCAAACACTTATGTTTCTGAAAAAAAAAACATCTGGGACATAGATGTACTTAGAAATCATTTGTTACTGATACTCTGCCAAAGACAGGAATGTTCACTTATTTTGCCAATTAGTTATGATTTCCATGATGATTATTATATTAGTTCCTTTATATTAGATCATGATAATGTTGCACACATAAATATATAATAGGTCAAAATCAAATGCTATGCAAATAGCTCATTTGTTGCTATAGTTTTTAGCTTCATGAATAGCTAAAATGTAAAAGCACACTTGCAGAATTGGTACTGATACATAATTTCTGCTTTTTTCAATTGAATTTGTGTAACTGTGATTGCACTTGCAGAAATTTGTGTGCTTTTACTCAAGTTTCTAGATGTATTTTTGAATAACTTAAAAGCAGAACTGGAAAAGTGAGGAAATTTTAGTTTGTTTGAAGTAATTGCGTCAAAAGGAAAAGAAAGAACTTTCCAATAATACTCTACATGTTTGCGTTATCCCCAGTTTTATTAATTTTTATGATAGCATAATTTGTTTCTTATCTTTTCTGTATTAATGGTTACATTTGTAAAAACCTGAATTTATTTATTGATACTATAATGAAAAACATTAGTGATGTCATTCCCTTAATACTTATAAATGTTGCATAAATACGAAAGAGCTAATGATGTCCAAAGAACATTATATAATATTTTCTTCAGAAAATAGTATTAAGGATTTTGCACTTTTCTATAATGATTTTGAACCTTATTACTTTTAAAATTGGTATATCATGTTCTTTATCTAATAGTCCTAACTGTTCATAATGGCTTTTCAACATATTTCCATCAATGTAGACTGTTTCTGAGAAATTAACTCCCATTCATTTGGGAATTTCTTTCTATTAAAATGCCATCAGCAATTTATCTATTAGAACTAGAAATTGATGCTCTCATGCAAAACAGTTTATAGTTTTCTATTGTATATTTTATTGCCATAACAATTCAAATATCTCTGCATATGAGAAAGTTATTTGGTTTGGATTTTTATTTAACAATAAATAACATATAATGCTCAAACCACATAAGAAGCATAACAATAATTTCTAATTATCACCAACTACATAGTTTTTCATAAAGTTTCTGCAATTATTTTTCTTCATCGAGAGTAAAGATACATTAGCATTACAATTAGCAACAAGTGTTGATAATTAATTTTGTTTTGGTAAATAAAGGAAATAATATAACAGAAGTATTTTTGACAAACAAATTCTCTTATAGACACCTTGGCATACTTTAATTGGGTGATTATTTTGGTGGCAAAACTTTCTGGCTATTTGGCTACATTAAGTATTCTAATATTTTCAAAATAGTATGAATCTTGTTTTTGGATAATTTCAATCCAATTTTCTTTTAATATAAAGATAATATTAAAATAATATTTCTTTTGAAATACAGAAATCTTTTCTTCTCAACACAAAGTCAGTTTTTTACTCATAATCTACACAATTGACTTTAATCTACAGCATATTTTGAAATGAGTTTGTAACTTAGCAGTTTTTCTTTCTCATAAACTAAGTCAAAATCATTTAAAATAGAGCTGAATATCATTTGGTTTACACTTTTTTCACAAACTATAGCAGCAAGAGTTTTTATTGATATTCTAGACACTTGTAGGTAAATACACAAAATGCTGATACAACATTTTGAGCCAAAATTACCCTCCTCTTGATTCTACATTTTCAACAATCAATAATTATTTTTCTTTATTATTTAATTTTATTCAACTTTTAGGCTTTACTTTTCACTGTATGAGATTAGCTTCATAGCTTCTTTTATATAATGTGGTAAAGACATTGCAAACTCAAATCCAGCCTTCCATTTAACACTCTTAAATTTACTACATTCAACAACTACTTAGAAAAGTAAAATTCTGCTAAAATCATTAAATGCAACAACACTATCAGTTCTGTTAACAACCTCAATCAGATAGATCCTTTCTAGAGAATTCTTCTTTTTTTTTCATGAGAAAACAGTTTCAGAAATCTTAATATGTCTTTGTATGACAATCTTTCCATCTTAATAGTCCTCATTTGAACCTTTTACAACAATTCACTCTCCTTTTGAAGGTAAGGAGCCCAAGACTCTATACTTTCAATTTAATAAGGCCTAACCAGTGACATATGCAATGAAATAATAACGTCTTTAGATTTATATTTAATATTTTTGTAAATACAACTCAAAATCCCATTTACTCTACCACTAGCAACTGTACACTGCTGCATGGCTTAAGAGACTGTTCAATGGAAACACCAATATCCTTTTTCCCATAACAATGTTGTGGTGACTCCCACCAAAATTATGGTTTAAATTATGAATACCCACAGGTATTATAATTAAAAGTCATCTGCCAGTTATTTACCCAATCCACTAAATCACCTAAATTCTTTTGTAAAACATCAGCATCCTCCTCACAGCTAGTAACACCTAAGACCTTAATATCTTGAGCACATTTAAGAAATTTATTGACCATTCCTTTATCTGTGTGATTGATGTAAATCAATAAGAGCAAAGGTTCCAACACTGAGTCATGAGGTACCCCACTTGTAACATTAATCCAGTTTGTCTTAACTCCATTTAGAACAATGGTTTGCTTTCTCCCCCAAGCCATTCTTTGATCTAACAAGCTAAGCTAATTTTTATACCTCATTCCATAGATAATTTTTTAATGATCCTTTTATATGACACCTTGTCAAAAGCTTTCTGAAAATTAATCTAAATATTGAAAATCTACACTTTATACTCATCATCATAAGCAGTAACCTCTTCAAAGCAAAAGATTAGTAAGGCAAGATTTTCCCTCAGAGAAACTATGTTGACTATTCAACAAAACTGTAAGCTTTAAGTGACTTTCTAAAGCATCTTTTATCAGCTTATGTATACAGTTAAAAGGAGTACAACTTTAAAATAATTGCACAATAGATACTTTATTGAAAATAGGAACCAGCCCTAAACAGACTCTACATGTTTCAGTGTTCTTACATCACCATATTCAGGAGCAAAAGTTGAAATTTGATCAAGTCTTATATAACTACACTTCTATAAAGAGGTGAAGCAGAAATTAAGCACCGCAGGCGCGAACTTTCCAATGGATTCGGTATCGTGCTTCTGTGAATAGACAGTTCTAGATTCTTATTGTTGGGGTGGGGGAGGATTGCCTGTTTTTTTTTAAGCCCTGGGATGTGGTGATATTATCTAATACTTAACATTTGATAACAGTGCACATGTTTTTATCATTTTGACTAGCATTTGAGGGCCCCTTTATACCGCTAGAATGGGGGAAATGTTCTCTTCAAACCACTCCAGCCACCTCCCTATATATTTGTTTTAAAGCTTCATAAACTTTGTTCGATGAGAAGATATCAGGTAAGCTTAGGTTTAGTGAATACGTAGGCGATGTCAAAATATTCCGATGTCTCAAATCCTTATTTATTAGATAATAGTTTTAGGTTTATCGTATTCAAACAACGTAAATAAGTAAATTAACTTATAATATAATGAAAAAAATCTATATTCGTTAGACATAAGTTATCTTGACCAAGCTTGTTGTTAACAAAATTATTGTTATCTAGCCTGGCAAAGGTAATGGTGACGCCATTTTGAAAGGTAGACTACAGGGTTACCGATAACTTTTTTTCTGTTTCACCACGTTTCATACGATTTATAACAAGAAGCGGTGACCTTTGTAATCGGCGAAATAATGTATCAAAAGAAATATGTTCAAAACCTATAAACTTTTTTGAAACTGGCTTGAAATATATAAATGGACCTTTCTGTTTAAATTGCCCTCCAGTGGCACAACGGTATTTCTGTAGACTTACACCGCTAGAAACCGGGTTTCGATACCCGCGGTTGGCAGAGCACAGATAGCCCATTGTGTAGTTTTTGTGCTTAATTAGAAACAAATTGTTTAACGATAACAAAAATTAAAATTGTAGATAAAAATATTTTATTTTTAGTTTCAAAACAGTCTCTCTCTCAACAAAATTTTGGAAATTTAACAACCTAAAAATTATAGAAATATTAAGCCAATTTATATAACGTTTTGAAGCCAAAATTAAGTACAATTTATAAGTTTGCCAGAAGTTTCATGCAGTTTGGTTAATTATCTCTATTGTGAAAAGAAACAAATCGGGGAATGTAAATATGGTTCGATTTCAGGTGGACTTTGAAATTACTATTTAATTAAATTGTAGCTGGAATACAGTTTGATACTATAAAAGCTAAAGTACTTAAAGTTAATGCATTGATATACATCAATGCTTGTAAACAGTTCAAGAAGAAAGAACAGCAGGAACCGAATGCTTTATTATATGGTGAAGGTTTGGTTTGTTTTAAATTTCGCGCAAATCTACGCAAGGGCTATCTGCCCCTAATTTATCAGTGAAAGACTATAGGGAAGGCAGCTAGTCATCACCACCCATCGCCAACTCTTGGGCTACTCATTTACCAACGAATAGTTGGATTAACCTTCACGTTATAACGCCCCCACGGCTGGAAGGCTACCCTCAAGTCAAGCGCCCTAACCATCTGGCCATGGAGAAGGACACGGATATTTTCCCGTTTCTGTGTTTTAAACAATCATATTTTTTGTACTGAAATTGATTTTTTTTGC